TTTAATATGTTAAGATCAAACTTCATGAAGCTGCATGATTTCATTTCAGGCTGATGTTGTGATCAAATTCCCAGAAGAGGATGCACCATCCACAGTCCAGTCCAAGAACCTCTTTGTTCCCAAACCTGAAATCCAGGTACAGTCAAAATCAAAAATTGTTTGCAGAGCTGGGGCCTAATCCTACTAGTGCTATTTGTTATCATCATAATTTATTGTTGAAAAGTCATCTCTCATTTAAAAAAAAAAAACTAATACTGCATAAGTAATTAACGAAAGAATAGAGTTACTGCTTAATGGGAAGAATGTGTTGCAGTCCCCTGGCATATGAATAAATAAGCTGTGCCCTGCCTGTGGGAGGGCAGCTGGTGTCAGTGATGGTTCAAACATGTAGGTTTGACTAGGTGAGCACCACAGCAAGTGCTCTGTTCTGAAGACTTTTCTTGCTTCATTCCAGCCATCTGTGCTGATGACAAGCTACCGAGTGCTTCTGTGAGTGCAAGGAAAAGTTACCTGTGCAAGAGATCAAATGTGCAGAGACTTGAATAGCCACTACTTTAGTCTTTGCCTTAAGAGGAATGTTTATCATCCAAAGGAATGTCTGGGAACGTGCTGCAGGTGGCCCTCTGGGGAGCTGAGAAGCTGCTCTGCTGGAATACTCCTACTTATGAGTTGGTTTTGTTTGTTTGCAGCACCTCTTCAGGGAACCTGAGAAGAGGCCTCCCACTGTGGTATCTAACACTTTCACAGCACTGATTCTCTCCCCGCTGCTTTTGCTGCTCATTCTGGTGAGTGAACTGGGCCACAGAAGAAGTTTTTCCCAGTCCAAGGTCCCTTAGGAGGTTGACCAGCTCAACTTGGTATTAAAACTCTTGGTTAATCGTGACTAGCACCACAGTCCTGCAGTCACAGCTAGCAAATGTCAGCTCAGGGCGTTGGGCTGGTATTGCTTCTTTCCTAAATTGTTGGGAGTTTTTGGGTTTATAGTCAAAATAGCAAAACGCTGCTGCCATGCAGCAGTAGGTGGGGTGAGTTTCTCCAGTATGCTACTGCTGGGGATGTTGAATTACAGTGGGCAGCTTAAGTTATTGTTAATATTAGACTTCCACAGGGGAAAAATAGCACTGCCTGGCACTGAATACATCCATCACAACATCTCTGTGACTTAATCCTATCAGATTGATTCCCATTTATGGACATAATTGGTATTTGTGTGTCTGTAGTTGAAACATCTACTGCTACTCACCATCTCATCAGATCAGTGTTTTGAACTTAATGCAATACGAAAATCTCATCTAGTCAAGTTAAATTAGTCCTTTTTTGGAGGATGAAACTGATCCTTTGCTTGTCAGTAATTTCCCATTAGCTCGTCTCACTGAAAGCTGGAGTTCACATAGTTGTGTCCACTGGTCTCTGGCGTTCACAAAATACATGTTGATGACACTTCAGTGAAAAATCTCTTTGCTACTTCTCCTGTTTTCCAGCATTTCGAGCCTTTCTATTTTGTGCTTTAAAAACTGAAATAGATACAAGATGTGTGCTCGTAAAAACTACGGCTGTTCTTTTGCTGAGTCCAAAACTAGAACTGTATCTCTTGTTTTTCTGATTTAAATTAATTCAGCTGGATAGAAATAGCAATGTTTACTTTCCTGGAAAATGTAGATTTGGAGCAATACCCTCTCATCAGGTTAAGATGATTGAGGAACTGCCTTTGGTCAGTCAGAAGCAGCCAGAGAAATTTTCATTGAAGGAGCTCAGCAGTGCCATCTTGGTAAAATTACTACTTTGTCCTCTTGTAGTGGGAAACAAGTGCTTCTGTTGAGAAAACACTGTATTAATTGAAGATCTTGAAGCAAATGGCCTTGAAAGATACTGAAGTTTAAAATAAAAGCCTGTGTTTACAAGGCTGTTGTAACTTAAGTTTTGTTTCTTTTCCTTTTAGTGGATCAAGATAGGTGCCAACATCTCCAACTTCAGCTTTGCTCCCAGCACCATTGTTTTTCACCTGGGACATGCTGGTAAGTGTCAGAGGCTTTCTGCTTTGTTTGACCTCCTCACCTGGGAGTTACAGATGAGAGCCCTGGTGGTTAATGGGCTTGTGGTCTATTAACTATAATGACATAATAGCATAACATTTGTTCTCTTGTTTTCATCTGCCTTCCTGCTTTTTATGATTGTTAATATGGTGCTAAACCTGTTTTGGCCATCAGCTTATAACAGCAGTCATTATCCGGGTTCCTCTCACACACCATTTATCTGTACTTAATAGAACTTCTTCTTTCCAGAGGTCACACTTCCTTTATTGCGTGTTTATCCTTTGTAGGCAGGGAGTTTCTGTGGGGATTGAAACCTGGGAGACTGTGGCCTACATCTTTTCTTTACAGCTCTTCCTGTCAAAGCTGCTCTTGTTCTTTGGCTGGGCTGACTTTTTTTCATCAATTTTATCATACCCTTAGTTGCACAGTTATTTATTGTCTTGACAGAATTTCAAAAATACAGCAGGTTGAGAGAACATTGGATCTACTCTTTCCCAGATGACGGTGTGTTGCTTAATCCGAGCCAGTTTCCTTGGAAGCCTTGTAAAGCTGTAAGCTGCTCTAAACGTGCAAAGGTTAATAACCACTGTTGCAATCCAGAGTATCCTCCTCTATTTAATAGCCCTTTTTGTCTATAATATGTCCATAATTCTGCCACAAGAGGGTTGGTTCCAACCATCAGCATTATGTTTTTCGCCAGTATGGAGACCCAGGCCCCTCCTTCTCCTGGCATTAGTGTATATAGTCTGTAGATCTGGCATTTCAGAGATGAGAGAGGAAACCCAATGCTTAGGCCTCGCAGTGCAACGTAACGATTGTTCTGAGGATAGATAACAAACGGTTGGTCTTTTGAAATGCAGTTTCAGCCATGGGCTCTGTCTGTCTTTCACAGCCATGTTGGGACTCATGTATGTCTACTGGACTCAGCTCAACATGTTCCAGACTCTGAAGTACTTGGCCATTTTGGGTGGCGTCACGTTCCTGGCAGGCAACAGGATGCTGGCTCAGAAGGCAGTCAAACGGTAAGGCAGGGACGGACGCGTCGGTGGGAGCTGCTTTTAAAATCAGTGGGGAGGAGAGCACATTGATGCTGTCATGTGTCAGTAACTGACACAGTAATGAACACTGCTTTTGGTTCTTGGATCTCCTGTGTGGGGATGGACTGCTCAGTCCCTCTTTTGGGCCTGTTTTCAGATTAAGGGCTTGAACTGAATAGGGCAAAGGGCTGCTCTCGCTGAGATACTGTGAAGAGCTCCTTTGGAGAGAGTGGTGGCCACTTGCTGGAGCCATCAGGGACACACAGAAAGCAATGGGCTGAAGTTTCCCCACATTTGACACAGGGAAACGCACATTCCCTGACAAATTTGTTTTACTACATGATATATCAAGCTCATAAAATATTGTTAGATAATGAAAACCACTATAAATGCAGAGGCCCAACTCTTCTGTAGCTGTGCAGGTGATAAGTTTTAAGAAGAGGAAGGTATCTTACTGCTTTCTTCCCCTCCCTAAAGAGGGGTTGTAGAGGAAAAAAAAGAGGCAGATGCTTAACAGAGGTGTGCAGCAACAGACAAGGAAAAACAGGGAAAATCCTGGTAAATGTCAGGGATACAACATTAATTTCTGTACTGGCACTGGACTGATCCTTCACATTTGTGTCTCCTGCCACACGGTGTCTCATAGGCAGACCATGGCTTAGGCAACCTGCAGGCAGTTTGCTGACCTGAGCTTCCAATACAATGGGTTAATTAGAGGTCCAGCTGTTCCCTCTCCTTCACTTCTGCCGCATGGGGTTTCCATGTGACATTTAAGTTTTATCTCTTTTGTACTAATGTAGAATTTGGCTTTGAAGATGCTTTTTTTTTTTTTTTTTTTCCTTACTGTTATTAGCATTAATTGTCCTTAATGCACCATCGTTTTGACAGTAATGAGCTAAACCAGTGGGTTATTACTCCGGGCAGAGACTGCATTTCCTGGCATTAAAATATTTGAGATATGTTTGTGTACTGTTCAGTTGGAGGGGCTGTGTGCAGCAGCTCCGAGTTGCTTTCACATAACTTTTTTTAAATTAATATTTCATTAGTCCATCTTTCTTTACTTCCATTTGAAAACAACTAAGCCTTTGCTAAAGTTAACCTGAATTGTCTACATGTTAATGGATCCAGTTCCAGGCGTAACCTGTACCTTAAATTACACTTTTTATTGTAAAGGAGCTGCCAAGATTGTTGTGTTTGAAGTCTGACCTTAATAGTTTGGTTTGTGCTTTTTACATATTTTTCCCACTGGTTCTCTGTGAATTATTTTTCAGGGTGAGGGTGTGGGACTGGTTCACATGAGCAAACCTGTAATAACAAATGGTAGTATAGGTTGAAAAATATCTTGGCAATGAAACTTGAATTCTCCGGGGGAGCGTTTGTAAGCTGTGAGAACAAATGTGCTAATTAAAAACCACAGACTGCAGCGACTGCTTATGTTTGAGAGTAGGACTGAAATCAGTCAAACCCACCGAAGTTCACTGCCTCGATGGTCTGTGGTTTGGGACCGGAGAGAGGGCAGGGAGGCATTTCTCTGCTCCGGGTTTATCCAGCACTTAGCACAGAGGAGTGTGATAAATGGCAGGGCCCTGTGCTAAGTGATAAATGCCGTGACTCCGAAGGAAGGCTTGCTGAACAAAGTGCAGGTCTGCAGGAATGCTTTGGCTTTTCCCTGCTGGTAATAAAATCAGCAGAAACCTGTTAGGCTTTAGGAGCCAACAAAGCCATAACTGGTTGCTGTCCGGAGACCTCTCTTGTCTCAAATTGCTCTCCAGTAAGCAGAAGCACATATGCATGTGCAGTTTTAACTTGTATCATATGTGATGTAATCTTTAATAGCTAGTTTCTGCTGGTTTAAAAGGAAAACTAGTTGGATCTGGATAGCTGCCCTTTGGAGAACTGTTTTTAATGAAGCAGTACAACTAACTCCAACATGACTGAGAAGCTGGTGCCCTCAGAGCTGGCTGCTTGTGCTGGGAGGAAGGGCATGGGTTAAGGTTAGTGACTGGTGCAGGAGCCTTGCCAGAAGGTAAATTGCTGTAGATCCTTCTCTTCTGCTTAGATTCTGTCTTTGACATGGTGTAAGACCCTCTTTGGGGAAGGGGACAGTTAGAGCTAAAGCTTCTTCTGTGAACTTGACCATAATTAGTATGTATAGAGTGCTCTGAGTAATTTTCTGTTGTGCTTTGTTGCAGCTGAAAGTAAAAGTTTCCACGGAAGTTGGGATTACCAACGTAGATCTTTCTACTGTGGATAAAGATCAGAGCATTGCACCAAAAACAACCAGGTAAAACAACTCAGGGTGTGTGAGCTTTTAAGGGTAAGTCTGGCTCTGGAGTGGAGGTCTTCTGAGCTTTACCTACTGCAGCTGAAGCAAAGGAATCTTGTATTGGAATAACTACAGAGTTATACCCGTGTCGTGGTTTCTCAAACCAGGGCAACTTGTGCTGTTTCTCTTAAACCCTTGAGTTCTTTGGGAGAATACTGATTATTTTTATAGGTGGTTTTCCTTAATACTGAAATAAGTGCTACCAGAAGCCAGGCAACCTGAGTCTTCTGTGCCTTTGTTGGCACCTCTGTGTAGCAAAAGCAAGTTAAAATAACTGTGTTAACTCTGGTATTATTTGGCTCTTGAAGAGATGGTCTAAAGCAACACGTACTCTGTATTTGGGGGCTGTGGCTGTAGGCTTGCTAGATGTACTGGAACTTAATGTAGTGGGTTTTTTAACTGACAGATGTATAGAATTTGACATAGGTTGCCCAGCCTCACTGAGAGGCCCTTTTGTGTGTGTTGATACAGCTTTTCTGTGCTGAAGTTGGAGTGTCTTTTTTTTCCTGTTCTGCTGCCATCACACCTCTGGTTGTAGCGCAGCCTTGGCTAGATGAAACGTGGGGTGTAGCACTAGCAAAACCTCCTTCTGCTGTTCCTTTGAACCTTAAAACAAACTACTGCTTTACTTGAAAATGGGCCGGGTATGTAGCTCACAAAAATCCCTCTAAAAATTCCAGTCATGTTAGTTCACCTGACTTTTGGATAAGATAGCTCATCTGTGCTGAGCAGAATGCAGTACTGCTGGACAGGCACACGTGCCTCAGTTTCTTTGAATGCCAGGCCTTCTCTGGGAAGATCATCTCAGTTCTGTTTGTTTTTTGCTTCCTAGGGTAGCTTACCCAGCCAAAGCCAAGGGCTCCTTCACTGCTGACAGCCATCAGAATTTTGCTTTATCCTTCCAGCTGATAGACGTGAACAGTGGAGCTGAACTCATCCCTCACCAGGTTAGGACAAATTTTTGTCGTTGCTATGTCATGAAGATGTTCCATCTTGAAGCATTTGAGGTGACAGTTGCTCTTGAAAAGATCTGATGGGTTTTGAGAAGCCTTATATTTCTGACATGGAAAGATCAGTAATGTTTCAGTCTATCTTTCACTGGTGGAAAGTGGATTCACTTCATTTGTTTGGGCTGTACACTAAATGGTGCCTCTTCTGGCTCTGGTGCTGTGTCTTATTTAACTCAACAAAGTGAGTGCAGGTAGGCTGCACTGGAAAAAGCACACTTCTTTTTGTTTGCTGATAAAGTCCTTGAATTTAGACTTTCTTCAAAATTTTATTTTCCCTGTATAAAATAGAAAAAAGGGGAAAAAAACCCCAACAAACCCCATAGATGCATACATCCTTGTTGTGTGCTGTTGCGTATACCCTGTTGAGTCACATTCAATATATTGCCTCACACCCCAGTGGGCCACTGAACAGTCTTGGTCCTGTGTTAATGTACTTGCTCAGAGACATAGAACTTCGCTGATTTGTAGGGATCTAGACACACAGGGTCCTAGTTTATACTCCAGATTTTGTTAATATTACACTTTGGGGGGTTAAATCTCTCATTTCACTGGCACTTGTAAATGCAGTGTGAGATATTCCAGAAATCTTAACGAACTTTCCTTTCAGACTTTTGTCCGACTTCACAACCAGAAGACTGGCCAGGAGGTGGTGTTTGTTGCAGAACCAGATAGCAAGAACGTGTACAAGTTTGAACTGGATACCTCTGAGAGGAAGACTGAATTTGACTCTGCCTCTGGTACCTACACTCTTTACTTGATAATTGGAGACGCCACTCTGGAAAATCCAATCCTGTGGAACGTGGTACGTAGCTGGAAGTGTGGTGGTGTGGTTTTGAGGTAACTAGTGGTCTAACGGAAGGGCATGGTACAGGCTTGGAAGAAAAAGTGCTCAAGTGTCTTTGTTCTTTGTAGTGAACCAGAATCCTTTTGGCCATTTGTGGACTCTGAGGTTTGCTGGTCATTTGAAGTTTTTAAGCGAACATCAAAGCAAGGCTGAAATGAGCATTTGTTTCATCATATGGTGGAACAGAAACTTGAGAACGTTTATGGGTGAACGATGACGGGTGAATGGCATGACTGCCTCTGCTTAGGAAAAATTGCTTCTTAAAAAATCTGATGGCTTAGTTTTCTTTAAAAGTCATTTCAGTTGTAGATGGACAAATAAGGAAATAGGCTGCAGCAATGGAATAGGTTTTATAAAACTTTTAATATGTTAAGATCAAACTTCATGAAGCTGCATGATTTCATTTCAGGCTGATGTTGTGATCAAATTCCCAGAAGAGGATGCACCATCCACAGTCCAGTCCAAGAACCTCTTTGTTCCCAAACCTGAAATCCAGGTACAGTCAAAATCAAAAATTGTTTGCAGAGCTGGGGCCTAATCCTACTAGTGCTATTTGTTATCATCATAATTTATTGTTGAAAAGTCATCTCTCATTTAAAAAAAAAAAACTAATACTGCATAAGTAATTAACGAAAGAATAGAGTTACTGCTTAATGGGAAGAATGTGTTGCAGTCCCCTGGCATATGAATAAATAAGCTGTGCCCTGCCTGTGGGAGGGCAGCTGGTGTCAGTGATGGTTCAAACATGTAGGTTTGACTAGGTGAGCACCACAGCAAGTGCTCTGTTCTGAAGACTTTTCTTGCTTCATTCCAGCCATCTGTGCTGATGACAAGCTACCGAGTGCTTCTGTGAGTGCAAGGAAAAGTTACCTGTGCAAGAGATCAAATGTGCAGAGACTTGAATAGCCACTACTTTAGTCTTTGCCTTAAGAGGAATGTTTATCATCCAAAGGAATGTCTGGGAACGTGCTGCAGGTGGCCCTCTGGGGAGCTGAGAAGCTGCTCTGCTGGAATACTCCTACTTATGAGTTGGTTTTGTTTGTTTGCAGCACCTCTTCAGGGAACCTGAGAAGAGGCCTCCCACTGTGGTATCTAACACTTTCACAGCACTGATTCTCTCCCCGCTGCTTTTGCTGCTCATTCTGGTGAGTGAACTGGGCCACAGAAGAAGTTTTTCCCAGTCCAAGGTCCCTTAGGAGGTTGACCAGCTCAACTTGGTATTAAAACTCTTGGTTAATCGTGACTAGCACCACAGTCCTGCAGTCACAGCTAGCAAATGTCAGCTCAGGGCGTTGGGCTGGTATTGCTTCTTTCCTAAATTGTTGGGAGTTTTTGGGTTTATAGTCAAAATAGCAAAACGCTGCTGCCATGCAGCAGTAGGTGGGGTGAGTTTCTCCAGTATGCTACTGCTGGGGATGTTGAATTACAGTGGGCAGCTTAAGTTATTGTTAATATTAGACTTCCACAGGGGAAAAATAGCACTGCCTGGCACTGAATACATCCATCACAACATCTCTGTGACTTAATCCTATCAGATTGATTCCCATTTATGGACATAATTGGTATTTGTGTGTCTGTAGTTGAAACATCTACTGCTACTCACCATCTCATCAGATCAGTGTTTTGAACTTAATGCAATACGAAAATCTCATCTAGTCAAGTTAAATTAGTCCTTTTTTGGAGGATGAAACTGATCCTTTGCTTGTCAGTAATTTCCCATTAGCTCGTCTCACTGAAAGCTGGAGTTCACATAGTTGTGTCCACTGGTCTCTGGCGTTCACAAAATACATGTTGATGACACTTCAGTGAAAAATCTCTTTGCTACTTCTCCTGTTTTCCAGCATTTCGAGCCTTTCTATTTTGTGCTTTAAAAACTGAAATAGATACAAGATGTGTGCTCGTAAAAACTACGGCTGTTCTTTTGCTGAGTCCAAAACTAGAACTGTATCTCTTGTTTTTCTGATTTAAATTAATTCAGCTGGATAGAAATAGCAATGTTTACTTTCCTGGAAAATGTAGATTTGGAGCAATACCCTCTCATCAGGTTAAGATGATTGAGGAACTGCCTTTGGTCAGTCAGAAGCAGCCAGAGAAATTTTCATTGAAGGAGCTCAGCAGTGCCATCTTGGTAAAATTACTACTTTGTCCTCTTGTAGTGGGAAACAAGTGCTTCTGTTGAGAAAACACTGTATTAATTGAAGATCTTGAAGCAAATGGCCTTGAAAGATACTGAAGTTTAAAATAAAAGCCTGTGTTTACAAGGCTGTTGTAACTTAAGTTTTGTTTCTTTTCCTTTTAGTGGATCAAGATAGGTGCCAACATCTCCAACTTCAGCTTTGCTCCCAGCACCATTGTTTTTCACCTGGGACATGCTGGTAAGTGTCAGAGGCTTTCTGCTTTGTTTGACCTCCTCACCTGGGAGTTACAGATGAGAGCCCTGGTGGTTAATGGGCTTGTGGTCTATTAACTATAATGACATAATAGCATAACATTTGTTCTCTTGTTTTCATCTGCCTTCCTGCTTTTTATGATTGTTAATATGGTGCTAAACCTGTTTTGGCCATCAGCTTATAACAGCAGTCATTATCCGGGTTCCTCTCACACACCATTTATCTGTACTTAATAGAACTTCTTCTTTCCAGAGGTCACACTTCCTTTATTGTGTGTTTATCCTTTGTAGGCAGGGAGTTTCTGTGGGGATTGAAACCTGGGAAACTGTGGCCTACATCTTTTCTTTACAGCTCTTCCTGTCAAAGCTGCTCTTGTTCTTTGGCTGGGCTGACTTTTTTTCATCAATTTTATCATACCCTTAGTTGCACAGTTATTTATTGTCTTGACAGAATTTCAAAAATATAGCAGGTTGAGAGAACATTGGATCTACTCTTTCCCAAATGATGGTGTGTTGCTTAATCCAAGCCAGTTTCCTTTGGAAGCCTTGTAAAGCTGTAAGCTGCTATAAATGTGCAAAGGTTAATAACCACTGTTGCAATCCAGAGTATCCTCCTCTATTTAATAGCCCTTTTTGTCTATAATATGTCCATAATTCTGCCACAAGAGGGTCAGTTCCAACCATCAGCATTACGTTTTTCGCCAGTATGGAGACCCAGGCCCCTCCTTCTCCTGGCATTAGTGTATATAGTCTGTAGATCTGGCATTTCAGAGATGAGAGAGGAAACCTAATGCTTAGGCCTCACAGTGCAACATAACGATTGTTCTGGGGATAGATAACAAATGGTTGGTCTTTTGAAATGCAGTTTCAGCCATGGGCTCTGTCTGTCTTTCACAGCCATGTTGGGACTCATGTATGTCTACTGGACTCAGCTCAACATGTTCCAGACTCTGAAGTACTTGGCCATTTTGGGTGGCGTCACGTTCCTGGCAGGCAACAGGATGCTGGCTCAGAAGGCAGTCAAACGGTAAGGCAGGGACGGACGCGTCGGTGGGAGCTGCTTTTAAAATCAGTGGGGAGGAGAGCACGTCGATGCTGTCATGTGTCAGTAACTGACGCAGTAATGAACGATCTGGCATTTCAGAGATGAGAGAGGAAACCTAATGCTTAGGCCTCACAGTGCAACATAACGATTGTTCTGGGGATAGATAACAAATGGTTGGTCTTTTGAAATGCAGTTTCAGCCATGGGCTCTGTCTGTCTTTCACAGCCATGTTGGGACTCATGTATGTCTACTGGACTCAGCTCAACATGTTCCAGACTCTGAAGTACTTGGCCATTTTGGGTGGCGTCACGTTCCTGGCAGGCAACAGGATGCTGGCTCAGAAGGCAGTCAAACGGTAAGGCAGGGACGGACGCGTCGGTGGGAGCTGCTTTTAAAATCAGTGGGGAGGAGAGCACATTGATGCTGTCATGTGTCAGTAACTGACACAGTAATGAACACTGCTTTTGGTTCTTGGATCTCCTGTGTGGGGATGGACTGCTCAGTCCCTCTTTTGGGCCTGTTTTCAGATTAAGGGCTTGAACTGAATAGGGCAAAGGGCTGCTCTCGCTGAGATACTGTGAAGAGCTCCTTTGGAGAGAGTGGTGGCCACTTGCTGGAGCCATCAGGGACACACAGAAAGCAATGGGCTGAAGTTTCCCCACATTTGACACAGGGAAACGCACATTCCCTGACAAATTTGTTTTACTACATGATATATCAAGCTCATAAAATATTGTTAGATAATGAAAACCACTATAAATGCAGAGGCCCAACTCTTCTGTAGCTGTGCAGGTGATAAGTTTTAAGAAGAGGAAGGTATCTTACTGCTTTCTTCCCCTCCCTAAAGAGGGGTTGTAGAGGAAAAAAAAGAGGCAGATGCTTAACAGAGGTGTGCAGCAACAGACAAGGGAAAACAGGGAAAATCCTGGTAAATGTCAGGGATACAACATTAATTTCTGTACTGGCACTGGACTGATCCTTCACATTTGTGTCTCCTGCCACACGGTGTCTCATAGGCAGACCATGGCTTAGGCAACCTGCAGGCAGTTTGCTGACCTGAGCTTCCAATACAGTGGGTTAATTAGAGGTCCAGCTGTTCCCTCTCCTTCACTTCTGCCGCATGGGGTTTCCATGTGACATTTAAGTTTTATCTCTTTTGTACTAATGTAGAATTTGGCTTTGAAGATGATCTTATTGACCTGCTTTGCCATCAAACCTGTCCTTTTCCTACTTTCCCCTTTTTGAGCACCTGGGAGTTGTTTATCCTTGCATACATATTTGCACAGATGTCCCTGGGTGCTCACTTTTCTTGATTACACTGTAATAAAACCAGGACAAGAACTGTAAAAAAAGAAAAAAACAAAACAAAAACCAAAACAAAAAGCACACCCCCAAAAAAAACCCCAAACAACAGCAAACCTACAAGAATATAATTTTCAGGGGGTTTACATTGATTTGTTGTCTTCAAAACATCTCTACTTGCATGGCTGTAGCAGGGGAGATGATTATTGTTGTTAACCCTTTCCATACCATCCTCCCAGCTTTCTCGGATGAGCAGCCCTCTCCACTGTGGCACTTTCTCTTGTTAGTGTAACAGTTCCTACGGGGATTTTGTTGCCAACGGGGCTATGTTATGTCATTAAATAATACTTTTCAAGAATAAGTATAAAATCATTATTGCGGACTGCTTAGGATACAAATTTGGGGAAAAAGAATACAATGGAGCTTACTTCTAAGTGTCTTCGCTCAACCAGGGCTTCTGTTAGCACAGAAATGCAGGTGGTTGGTTCCTACTTCAAAACACTGCAGGGGGTGTCGCTCTGCTTTTTCACTGTAAATGACATGAAGCTGCAACTACAATGGCAAATTTGAAAGTAAAACTTCTGCCTTAGGCTAAAGTTAAACCTTTTGTATTTGACTTTAAAGTTCAAAAAGACATCTTTTTTTGTTAAGGTGCTGGTAGCCTGTCTCAGATGTTGGAAGTGCAGTGATAATTAACTAGATTGCACTTTGAGGCAAAGCTGCTGTTGCACCATGGAGGCAGCTGGTGGGCGTGGGACGGGGACTGCATAAACCATCTCTTCACAGAAGTTACCAGAAGGCCTGGTTTTGCTTTTTGCGTTTCTGTCACTGGCTCTGGTTCCTGGAGCAGGGCTGCTTTCCTCCTTCCTATATTCTCTGAACCTTTTCTTCCTCTCTCCTTTTGGCAGGATCGCTGCAGAGCAGAGCAGTAGGTTGGCAAAGTATAGAACGCTGCGGTAGAAGGGGGTTTTGCTAGTGACCAGCTCTTCTAGAAGTAAGGGCCTTTTTGGAATTTGCCTTTCCTGGGCATGCTGCCTGTTTCATTTCACATCATCACTCACTCCTGGTACAACAAGATGTCCGAGCTGAAGCTGCTTCCTTCCAACATCGCTTATTGGGCTTTAAATCAGTCCTTGGGTGTCCTTGGCTACAGCTGGGTTTGCATATTAGCAGTACATGTCCCCTGAGACTAAATTGCCTTTTGTGATTTCTTTAATCATTTGAAATCTGTATGGTAATATGTGCACGTGTGAATATGCTGTCTTGGGCATCAAGCAGCTATCAGGTGATGAAATAAACCTAGTTTAAGCAGTATTTTTCCTGTAAATAAATTATTAGTAACACCAGCTGGAGGAGAACATGATGAAAGTAGCTGATACCTGGGCTGTTCCCATCCTGCTGTTGGTACCCCTGATCCCCATCTGCACTGTTCTGGTTAGTCAGCTGCCGGGCACTCTGACTGCTCAGTTATGTCCTCACTTGGGGTGGCAAGAGCTCTGTGTGCAGCAGAGCCAGGTCAGCACCACCTCATTCAGCTGAGAACACGACCCAATCCAGGGTTCAGCCTCCCATTAGACTGAACTGGTCATGATGGCTCAGTTGGTGGCAGCCCCAGCCCCCTCCATTCAGTATCTGGTAGGTCTCCATTATCACTTACCTGCACAAAGCCCTTCACTCCCTGGCATTCTGGGCAGGTAAGATCCCAGTTTGTGATATCCACTGTGGTGAAGGAGGCAGGAGTGCCTGCTGCTCTGCATGCTGCCCAGTTCTGAGTGTGTGTGTGTGGCTTCACATCTCGTTCAGTGCACTCTTTTATTTTGGGGAAGGGAGAGAGCATCTGGGACAAATCCTGAAGAGGCTGAAATCCTTGTACAATGTTGTTTCACCGCTACATCTCATGAGCATCTGCTTTCTCTCATATTTGTAGTTAGTGCTCCAGGCACATACACAGACAGAGTGCATTGAATGTAACTCAGTTTTTTTGGTGCAAAACAAAGCCAGTGTGGGTGGCCGTGTCACAAAAACGATGTGCACTGTGGTATAAGCTCCTGTCTGCAGATCAGATAATACGGAGGATGGTTTCATGGAAATTACTGATAGAGAACTTGGCATCATGTCCCATAGAAAGACACCCTGTTACTATCTCTTCTTTCCCTGGAGTCTTTTGAGGTATTTGAGCACAGAACAAGCTATGACAAGTAACTGGAGAGGAACTGGAGATGGCTGTCGCTTGTTCTACTAGATGAATGCTGGCTGCACCCTGCCTGTGTTTGCTGGTGCTGTTCTGGTCCCTGGATGCTTTTTTTATTTTACCATAGCTTTGGGCCAGTGGTTTTCAGCTTTTTGGTGGCCTGTTACCAAATGCCTCACAAGTGCTTCTCAACAGCTAGCATGTTTTCTCTTTCTCAGTCTGGTATTTTAACTCCTTAATTCCCTATGGGCTGTGAGTAGTCCTGGAAGATCTTGCAAATAACTTATTATCCACAAACCATAAGTTGGGTTTTGCTGCCATGTGCAGTGACAAGCGTTTGTCTTTCCTGCTGGGTTCTCTGATGCCCCAGTTAGGACAGCTAAGACTGGATTGTGACCAGCTTCTAGGGCTGGACTGTCAAGTGCTCGGCATCAAGTGCTCAGAAAAGGACCCCAAAAAGGTGGGTCTGCTGTGCCCACATTAGGCTACTTCATCTTCTTGGGGACATGAAGATCTTCTCTTTGTGTTTACATGAACCAGCTGATTCCAAGTGGATAGATTTGCCCTTTTTAAAGTAGAAGAGCAGTTAAGGTACCTGCAGGCTTTGCGTTCAGCCCTGCTTTTTTGTTCAGTTCTGTATTTTACAAGGCTCATTCATCCCTTTTGCACCAGAAATTAACCTTCATTTGCCTGACTGTTTCCATCCTCCCTGAATTCAGTCCTCAGTTCCACTGCAGTACTGGTTTTATCACTCTGACAAGCTTCCCTTGAGAGAGAATGAGGGGTCTGGGGACACTTTTACTGGAAGTGCTTTGTTGGCTGGAAGAGTTAATATTTTGGGTTTTTCTTTCCAGGACACACTAATACCAGAAGAATGGAAGAAATGGGGAAAAACAAAACAAATGCCTTCAGAACAGAAGTGAATAAATAACTGAAAGACCTGAAGAAAGAAGGCAGAAGCAGACTTTTTTTTTTTTAATATTGAAGTCAAAAGGGTGCCAGTTATACTTTTTTTAAAAAATCTGATTTTCATCGTTGTGTTCATGTTACTTGTGTGCTTTTCATATGAATCCAGAAAATCCTTTCTTCCCTCGATCCTCCCCCTTTTTTTCCCCCTCAGGACATTTGAATTTCCTTTAGAAAAAGAGGAAAAAGAAAATTTAATTCTGCGTTTCCCCAGGTGCCCTCTCCTCATCCTAAATGATTTGTGAATAAAGAGGAAAGAACGGTCCTGAACTTTGTTTTTTGGCTGTCTCAGAGGCTCTGATTGGAAGTTGGGCTCACATGAGAATGAAAAGAGCTTTTTCTGGCGGGTAATTTTGTGTGTGAGTCATTGCTGTGTGAAGCTTCCTGTTCTTTCATGCCCTTTCCCAGAGGGACATGTTTATTGGGGGGTGACTTCCCACTCCTGCCTGTCCCTTGTGTGACGCTCTCATCTTCATTTCTCTGCTAACGGATCTTTTCTCTGACTTCAGAACTGGTGAGAACTGGTGGCACCAGTTGCTGCGGGTCATGGGAGCCTGGCACTTACAGGGAGCCAGCTGGTGTGGTGTGTCCAGCTGTGTCTGACCCTGGAGGGTTCAGTGGGTCCCTGCAGTGGGTTCACTTTCTTTTCAGCCTCTGGAAGTCACCTTTTCACTCCAAATACGAGTTTGGTTGAGGTTATTGTCTCTGTTCTTCTATGAAACCAAATGCCAAGAATCTGGTCGTTGCCATGTGGCCACGTTTGAGTTATTTGACCTCTAACTTCCCAGTGAATTACCACCTTCAAACAGTGTTGAGGCACAGACTTGGGCTTTATTGAAGGACACTCTGATATCAGTAACCAAAGGCCAAAATCTCTTCCTGATGAGCAGCTCCCACATGGGAAACTTAGCATGTGCTCCCTCCCTGCATCTAGGTGTTGGCTCCTGTTTGTCCCCTGTCAGACTAGTTTCTTTAAAGGCCTTTTGGCCAAGGAACTTTATCAAATGTCTTTTGGAGATCCAAGAGAATGATATCAGCCAGCAAACATGTGGAGAAAGGGTGTGGAGCCAAACCCTCCACAGAACCTCACATGTATGAGATGCAACTCCGCTTTATAAAAGCCATCTTGCCTCTTCCCCACAGCAGTTGTTCACACTTAGCTCACCCTTTCTGGTCTTTGTAATAGTTCCTACCCCTTTGTTCATTGTGAGCATTACACTGGATGCCATAGAGGTTTAATGAACTGCTCCTCTGACCTCCTCTACGCTCGTCAAAAGCCTGATCTCATGCTGCATTCAAGCCCTCTGGAGGTTTAAGCAAGAAATAGTTAAGCTACTATTTGTAGTATTTTACCCTGGAATTCCTTTTCACCCTGGTGAGTTCTTTCTGAGCCTCGTATTTTGTTACTGCTCGCTTACCCGCTTTGTTTTGTAATTAATTATTTTTAGTGCTGCCTCATGCTAGGACAATACTTTCTCTGTGCCTGTAGAGCTCTGGCACATTATCCAAGGAGAGCACGGACGCAAAGAGAAAACCATGGAGTGCTGCTGTGATGTGTCTTCTCTAAGCTGTGTTGGTATTGGTTTTTTACCTCCTTGGTGTGCATTAGGAAAGGTGGGTTTTATTCTTTTGACCTTTTCCTCAGACACTTTCTGATTTGCTTTATTTGGTTTTATATTTAATCTCTCAGAGTTTGAGCATTTTTTTCCCTCGTTTTGACACAAACTGAACTTTCAAAGGAGTCCCTTCTATTCCAAATAGCTGCACTCACCCAGCTGTTCAATCATGCAGATTTAAGTCTTTGTGGAGTGTTTTTGATAGGTCTTTTGATTTTATTGGGCGTATCCAATCTAGTGTTTGCAGGTAGCTTTTATACCACTTTATTTTTTGTTGCTACCATGTTTAATTACTGCTTTAGGAAGCTGCTTCATTTTTTTTTTTAAATTCCTTTCCTTGAAGCACATGAGTCCTAATGGCTTCAGGAGTGTTAGTTGTTAGAGAGCAGGTTTACAAACCCATTTTGAACCAGGCCTGCTGAGGTTGGTTTTCCTCCTGCGGGTTCTCTGTCCAGCTGTACCGTGGAGCAGAAGGATGGCTCCTGTCTGGCTGTGCCAGCTGCCTGCCTGCCAGGGGCTGATGGATTACCCCTTACTGCACTTGCTGCTGTCACAGCTTCACCCATCTCCCTCGGCATCCCCTCCTTGCTTCCCATGCTGCTGGGCAGTTAGTAATATTTTCATAGTGCTGGAATTGTAAAATGGGAACAGAGAGAATCTATAGGGATTTAGTGCAAGTGTGAGCTCGTTCCCATGCATGGGAACCCACTGTCCTAAAAGATGGTCACCTGTGGAAAAATGAGACTGTGTCTACTGCAGACTCTCCAGGAATTGTTCGGGTGCAAGGAGGGATGCTTTCAGAGCCCTTACTGTGTGTTTGCATCCCACTGTATTTCCAGCCTGATGTTGAGTTACGGGTGCTGGACCTGGTGCCTGTGTTAGCACAGCTCTGGGTCGCACCTGAGCACTGGCTTTGAGTGACATCTTCCAGCCTGGGCACAGGATCAAGAAACTAACATCTCGACAGACAAAGAGCCATCTTGACCTGCTGTTGGACAGGTTTATTTAGAACAACTTTTATTTCCCGCTAACGATGGGAAAGCAGACCCCATCCTGGCGTTATTTACATTTCTGAAGACATAATTATTACACAAACAATGGGAGAATTGGGGCGACTGGGAAGGAAGTAGATGTATGAGATCGCTGGCTTAATAACTTACTTCTTTGAAAACCTTTATAGTTGTAACTCTCGCCAGGGTGGAGTTCAGACCCACTGGATGGCACCTTGAATTAAAACCCGGTGACAGCCCAATCTGATGCACAGGGATCTCCTTTAACTCCTGCAGAGCTGTAGCTTGGGTTTGAGCACCTCAGGGCTGAGCAGCAGCTGTAGCTGAGCTTTTTTGAGCTCAGTTTTGCTGCCGGGGCTGTGTGTGGAGGAGCAGCAGCCCACAGCCACGCTCCTAATGGGGGGTAAGACGTGTGGATTCATGTCTTCCCTCGCCCGGATCCCAGCTGCGTGTGTGGCTGTGCCATCAGCATCTATTTAGAGGAGGCTGTAATCGATTTACTAAGTTGCCTAAAGGTGCCTTTTGGTGGCCTCATGTTTATTAATCAGGCCCTACACCAGAATGATGACTTGGCAGAAATTTTGCTACGCTTTGTAATTTGAAAGCCTTAATTAGTAGACAATATGTCCCCAGGATTACAAGTGTACTGGTTGTTTTAGTCTTTTTATGTAAAGCAGCCTGAGGTTAATCCAGGAGGTGTGGGTTTGTTTTTTTTTCTGATTCAGTGCACGGACCGGTATTTAGTGAGGGGAGTTAAATCATTAAGACTGAAGTAAATTAGGTGGTGCATCAGAACTGTGTTCCTTTGAATGGATCTGAGGAGTGTGTGCATCAGCTTCCAGCTGGTCACATCCAGGAATGTCTCTGTTGCTGTGAAGGGGTTACTGTACAGTTAGATCCACGAGCTCTGAATGACTCTAGACAGAAGCAGGAGGGAAAGAGAATTGTAACAAAACTTTGTGAACGCACACACAAAAGTTTTATCACTCTTTGGAGGCTTTTTATGTCAGGGCAACTGACATTTGTACAAGTGAAGGTATTCCCAAGGATGCTGGCTCTCAGTTGCCCAGAGCTGGCAAGATTTGGAGGGTAATTCAAGTTCCAGGTGACTACTTTCAGGTGTAAGGGGTACCGAAAACAGTGAGACTTCCTCTCCTGTCCAGGGCAAGGAAAACCTAGAATGTCCCAGGGATTTAGAGGCAGATTCTGCTCCTGAGGGAAGACTTTGTCTGCCTTTAGCCTGGCTTAGACGCTTGGGCACACCATCTCAGGCAGCTTTAAAAGCTTCCTTTGGATGCTGCAAGCCTCTTCCCAGATGTCCACATGCAGCTTCACAACACTCGTGGTCTGTCTGTCAGACTAACCAGACTTTAGCTACTTGACAAAATTAATTGGGAGTTTTTCCCCCTTAAATTCCAGCAGCCAGCCTTTTTCATGGACAGCAGTGGGAATTGGCTTCGCTTAAGCAGTGCAGAAGTAGTGTGTATAGAATTGAGCAGGGAATGGTACTCACCAGAGCATGGGGAGATGGGAAAGGGAGAAGTATTTACATGAGCTTAGCCAAGGTGCTGGGGAAGCCTTCTAACCGACTGCTGTTGATGTCCTGAGGCCTGCCAGAGAAGGAAGTGGGACAGTGATGGCATAATTGGGGTTGAGAGAGAAATTCTTCTTTTTCCACTTCTGTTTTACTGAATTATGGGGTTGAGAAGACAGCATAATGATACGCTACTGTGCGGCGTGCGGGATGGCTCGGGACAGGCTGTTCCTTATCTGCACCCTACTTGCCCACGTAAGGGAAGGGCTGAGTTATGGGGTCAGGCAAGAGATTTATTCTTTCCCTGAGTGTACCTGAAAGATGATACTTAATCCAGTAGCTTCACATCTGGAAGGCAGACAGCAATAAGGACCTTGTCTTACTCCTGCGGTGAGCAGATAATGAGCTGATTCCCACCTACCTTTGGTTCTGCAGAATGGCTCCCAGGAAGTCCCTCAGGACCATCTGTTGGTGGTAGCGGCTGTCCATCAGGATGCTGTCAGACTGGCGCCTTGTCAGAAATTCATGCACCCCTTCTCCTGGGCTGCTCTCGCTGCTTCTGTTATGCAAAGATGAGAAATCAGCTTTGTTTCAGAGAGGCTTTTTTAGTCTCTCGCTCAAAGTTTGGCTCGGGCTGAGCAGCACAGCATGGGAACCTGCTGGGTCTGAGCCTGGGGCCCTTCTGCTTAATTTCAGTAAGAAACTAGTCAGCTGTATTTGCTCCTGTGTTAGAGGAGGGATTTAAGCTGGTTCACATCTGACTAGTTGGTATTATGTAGTGTCAGTCAGTGATCCATCCAGCCAAAGCTACGAGTGGTAGCGGAGAGGCTGTTTTTGATGTTCAAACCATGCCAGGGATAACTGTTTCCTACCAGTGAGTGATCATTGCAACTATGATTTGCAAATATTATTGCTTGTTGATATTATGGTAGAGCTCTCAGCTGATCTGACACAGCCTCAGAGGAGGTGATTAATTAGGTTGCTTAATGATAGTTGCGATTAGGGGGATCCAAGACTCTGGGATGTGGGATGTGGAACAGCGGGAGAGATCGCTTCTGTTGCAGCAGAAGGCAGTTATTTCTGCTACGTGTGTGAAAGAAACTGCCCGGTGTAATAAGCAAAGCATTAGCCCTCGGAGAGCAAAGCTCTGTGACTTACCCAAGCCTCTTGCCAATGATGGTCTGTAAGAACTTGCGGGCGGAAATCTGCCCCAGGAATTTGCGGTAGTTGTCGGTGAAGATGGCATCAGCGTGGCGCTGCATCCTGGGGGTGAAAGACAAGGGCAGGGTGTGCTCTCTGAGCTAGCCACGAACCTCCTAGGTGGGAAAAGGGTGTTTCTGATGACAGAATGTAAGATGTAGCACTGCTGGGTGGGTAACCATCGCACATGCCTTTTGGTGTTGGACCGTGTTAGTGTTGGAGGGTATAAGGGTTTGAGGGAGCTCAGTTCTGACATGGAGGCAGCAGGCAAAATAAAAGGTCTGTAAATCAGTATCCACGCTAAAACAAGTAAGGAGAAGTGCCTGCAAACCAAAGGGGTCAGAAAACTAGTGCCGAGGAGAAGAACCACAGGCTGGGAGAGAGCAGAATTGGGGCTGGGACATCCCTGTGCTCTGCAGCAGCACTGTCACCTCCTGGGAGGGCTGTGCCTGGGATGGGGTGGCAGGAGCCTCCAGCAGGTCGTTGGCCTGTGATTAGACCCAGGCTCCCAAAAATCCACAGGTGAGGGAAGCACAAGCCACTTGGCTGGTCCCGCTGTTGTAAGGATGAGTCAGACAGAAATAACCATCCTCTGTCTCCTGGCAGGGCTGGAAAGGAGAGGCTCTAACAACTGTACAGATGGATTCCCAGAGCTCGGTGGAAAATTATGTAGCCTACAGGAGTGCTGGGTGTGTGACCCTGCGATCTGTCAGTACATCCCTGCTGCTGGGGAGCAGCTCTGGACACTGGTGATGCTGAGAGCTGGCCCAGTCCCAGCCTTCTGCTCTGGTTGTGGGACTCAGCTGATTTCTCCCCCTGGAGCCTGGACTTCATGGTGCTGGTGGGACTAAGTGACCTGTCGGGCTGCTGCAGGGCTGGGGGAAGATGGTAACCAGCGTGCTGTTGCTCAGTGGGGCTGAGAGGGGAGGTACAAACCTTTTCTCAGTGAGGTCTGGTAACAAACCCTCCTCGTCCTGTTCCTCCACCAAGGGGTTATGGCTTTGCAATGGGCTGCTGTGCTGTAGCTGGAAGTTCACAGCCTTGCCAGCACCTGGCCCTGGGCTGTACCTGTAAGGCAAACCCAAGGCACACTGTGAGAGCTGCTCAATTTCCAGTCTTCTCAACCACTACTCCCTGTTTTTCTTTTTCTTTCTCCTTTTGCCATGCCCATCTCATCAGTAACACAAGTGGTGCCCGCCACTTTTCCCAACTAGCAACTGCCCTGAGCTTATTTCAGCAGTGAAAAGATGGTTGACCTGCCTCAAACACGCTTTTTTTCAGCAAGGAAATACTTGAAATATTAGCAGGCAGCTGTAAAGTTCATGTAGTAAAGTATCTGCAGTTCTGATTTCAACGCGGGTAGCCTGCAGGCACAATTTTCAATCAGTGATGGAGCTGGAGGTGCTGCCTGCTCTGGATATTCCCAGATTTCCCTTTATAGAATCAAGCATTCAGTTCCAAAACCAACTGCTTGGGCTGAAATATTCCATGGCAGGTGCCTGCCTTCCTTGGAAACTGCCCCTAGGCTAGTGCTGTACCTAAAAAATTAAGCCAGGGTGAAGAAATAGGCTTACCAACTCAGGAACAGTTCATCTGGCTTTCCAAAGTGCTGGCAACCTTAATTTGGCACGTGCTTATTTTGCCCAAGGTGAGAGCTGAGGCGGGGAGTGCCAGGGTGGATAAAGCACTCAGCAGCTTACCTGAGAGCTGGGTACAGAGGAGAGGAGATGGAGCATGCGACTAAATGCAGGAACAGGAGCAGGGTGGCCTTATCCAGCATCTTCCACCCTTTGGGGTCACCTGAAAAGCAGAGCAGTGAGATGCTCAGGGCCAGGAGGGGAGGCCAAAGGCCACCTTCATGTTCTCAGTCCCCCTGCTCAGTCAGTGGCACACAGTGTTGGGACCCCCTTATTGACCTGTCCCCCCTGCTGGGGTTGATGGAGGGGTCTCAGGCTGGGATAGCCCTGGGGACCACTGCACGGGCTGTCAGTACCAGCGTAAGGGTGGGTGGATGCTGGAGGGCAGCAGCAAACAGGGGCAATCAAAAGACCCTCACTGCTTGCACAGGACCATCTGGGACCTTTTCTGGAGATGTCTGGGTGTATGGCACAGGTCAGTGCATGACAGCTGAGTGGGCTGCCTTGCTGGCTGTCCAGAGACTGGGGAGAAACAGGGAAATCCAAATAAAATTCCTGGGCAGAGGGGTAATAGTGGCTCGGAGGTAGCCTTGGCAAACCCATTTCTCAAAGGGAACGGTGCTGAGCTCGGTCAGCCACACAAAACACAAGCTGTCCCTTCAGTCGTCGTGCTTGGGGAGGGGAGGAGCTGGATGGAAATCCATCCTTTTGGGAGAGCTGGATGGCTGCTGTGTCTGGAGGAGCCCCTGCACAGCTCTGAGCACCAGCTTGGCTGGAAGGTGAGATGGACACGAGCCGTGTGTGCCCACCCTGCGGAGCTCCGCGTCCCAGGGCTGGCTGAAAGCGCAGCAGATGACTCAGGACTGAGTCTTCTGAGGTCACACACCCCCGGGAGCTGAATGCCATGTTTTTGTCATTGGAAGCGAGGGACAGTAGGAAGGTATTGCAGTGAAGGCTCTCCCTCAGTTTTGGTTGAAAGCGATTGATCTTTTGCTCAAAGAAGATTCTTTAAGAATGTGGATAGAAACCTTTAAAATACCAAGTTTCCCTGTTCCCTGTCTTATTTTACACAAGAAAAGAGCAGAAAGATGTTTGATCTCCAGAAGAGGAAAAAGAAACTTTAGATTTTGATTTATTTAAAAAAAAAAATATATCTTTCAAATGTATAGTAATACTTTGTTGCAAAGAATAGTTTCCAAATGGAAAGGGTTTGGTTGGGCTTCTAATTTCCCAAGTGCACTTTCCAAGCAGTTGATTTTGTGGATGGATGGATTTTTGTGGCAGGAGGGGGCCCATTCTGATGGGAGACATCAGCAGAGGGCTCTGGTTTTCTGCTCAGACACAGCTGCCCACTCTCCTGAAAGTAGATCAGGATATGGGGGGGGTGCTAATTAAGGGCCGATGCTCATGGAAGTGGGTCCAATCTTGATACCATGGAAGTTAATAGCAGAATTAGTGGTGGTGTCAGAAGTGCAGGGACAGACCTGGGAAGAGGTGGTGCATTAAGAAATGGGGTTTCTTATCAAAAATTCATCCTCAGTCTGGTCCCTGTTCCCTGCTCATGCCCTCCCCCCAGGGAACCAGCACCTTCCCCTTCTGTTCCCTGGGAGCAGCGCTGATGCTCCTGGCTCCAGCAGAGCTTCTTGTGAACTCACGGGTGGCACCCCCCACCTCTGGTACCCACTCTCTTACGGAATCGCTCTGGCCCTCAGAGAGTTGAGGAATGCTCAAAGAAGCAAAAAGGTGACTTTGAGAAAGAGCAAATTTCCTGTTGTTTTTTTTTCTTTTTCATTTTAACTTGAAAAAGCCTTCCCCGTTTGTGCCTCTCCCCTAAATATCTCCAAGACAAATCTCAAATCAGATCTTTCTAGACAGAGGAAATGATCTAAAGCATCCGTCAGGGGGTAACAGGAGCCTGTGGCACCAGCATCTATAGGAAGTGCCAACCAGGAGATGTAATCAGTACCACGAGAGCTGCTGTGTGAGCCGAGAAGTGAAATATCAATGTAAAAGAAAACCTAGCCCAATGTTGTGTGTTTCCCTTTTTTCTTCCTAGGATACAGCCCTGATTATCACTTTCTGTATCTGGTTTTTCTTCTTTGAATGCTGGGGTTTTCTCCAGAACCGCTTTTTGTCCCTTTGAGATTTTTTTTTTTTCTTTCTCTGTTATTAGTTTCTTGGCAATATTTTGTTTGTTTGTTTCTGACTTTGCTTTTCTTCCCCTGTCTTGCTTTGTCTTCTTTCCCATAACTATGGTCTGCTTCTCATCCCTGCTTTTGGGCATTTGTCTCCCTTTTTTCCCCTCGGGAAGCAGTCTGAAATGAAAGTTCTAACCCCTTCCCAGAAGCATCTGTTATTTCAGAGGAGAAGCCGGGGAATTGAAGTCTCACCCCACATACAGGCAGCTCGACAGCTCTGCGAAGCCTCATCACCTTCGAAATACTCTTAAGGTGAGGGACACCTTACTTTCCATTCTGGCAACATGTGAAAAAGTTATTAATAAATAAATCCCTCTTCAGATGAAGAGCTTTTAGTGCCATTCCAGCAGATAAAGAGTAATGGCTTGGTTCCATCCTGTGCAGCGTGAGCAGCAGCGTTGTGACAGTGATGTTGGAGAGATGGGGTAACTGTCTCTCACTGCTCCTGAAACCTGAGCCTGATCAGTCTGAAAAATACCACCATGTAGATGAAACGAAGCTTTTACTGTGCCTCCAGTTTTATAAAGTTCAAAGTTTTATACTATGAAATACCACATTAGAAAAGCAGAAATCCTTTTAAGTGCCTTGCCGTGCCTCGTTGTAGCTGGCTTTGCCTTATCTGTAACACGCTGTTGCGTTTCTCCTCACACTTTGGTTTGGCTCAAACACAGTTTTATTGACGGGTGAGTAAAACAGCATTCATTTTCCAGGGTAAAAGGAACTTGCACCAATAGAGCATAAGAGGGAAACTGTGCTACAGCTAGTTAAACGTCTAACATGTTTATACAAAGCTCATCTATGTTACAATTCTATTGATTTGCATTCATTCTATAGTTCAATTATTAGTTCATTCTGTAACTCGGTACCAGAAAAATCTTATATGATACGAAGGATATTATACCTGAGAAAGCTAATTGCTGATGCCAGCTTTGATTGCATTTTGCTGTCATTTAACTGTCTCAAATTTCCAAATAGACATTATCTTGTTAAGTGTGCATAGACAGACTCTCACTTACCGTTCCCTTAGAAAAGAAGCGCTTCGCAGATCAGCTCTTGCTCAGGTGTTTCCTTTCCCTCTTGCAAATACAACTTCTTCTGTAGAGCTGCTCCTGTGAGCCCTGCTGGGTCCGTCCCCTCCGCACGCTGCCTGGGCAGGACCCAGGAGGGTGTTGAGCGGGGAGGACACTCTCGGATCTCCCCCCAGCTCTCCTCTGGCTGCCAGGGGAGGTGCAGCTCCTCTTTTTATACCTGTGCTCCCTCAGGAGTCCTGTGGGCTTCTACGCGTCAGAGAATCAATTATCCTCCTGAATTTCAAAGGCTGTGTTTAGCATCCTCCTTTTCGTGCGTGCGGGGAGAGGGCTAGAGCCTGTAGTCGATGGTCATTTTCATGCTTTCCCTTTATCGTTAAAAGAGTGAAAAGCAAATAATAACAACGATAACCTGGCAAAGTGAATGACAAATTTGCTTTGCATGGTAAACTTCTCTTTCCCTTTGCAATTGCATTTTTTCCTCCTACTCCACAATGAGAGAGAGTTAACCGTTAATAACTTTCTCACACTGGCTGCTCGGGGGGGTTTATCTTTTTTGCTATTTTTTTTCTTTGATTGTCAGCCTTTTCTTCCCTCTCCTTTGTTACTCACCCCTGCTAGCGTTAGCGGGGCAGTTCGTGCTTCAGTCCCTCGCAAACATCACAGCTTCATATCAAGCACACAAAGTCGGAGAGCCCTGCTCCCTTCGTGTGCGCTGGAAAAAGTCGAGGGTCTTCCCTGGGGTGCAGCGTGTGCTGGCAGCTGGTTTCCTTCCTGGAATAAGGTTTGTGAAAGCCCCATTAAAAAGAACACACAGTCTTGGTGCCAAGAAGACCAGGACAGTTTAGAGGAGTTAAAAAATGAGGTGCCAGCATTAGTTCCACCTGCCAGATTTCTAGTATTGACTTTATAATGCCCAGAATTGATGGGGACCCAGACCTTCCTGTCTTGGAGCTTGCGTGACTCGATGGTGGGAAGAAGTTTCAGCAGATGAGATGACTCATACCTGCCTGCTGCTGAATACCTGCACCTTCCACCAGAGCACTCATGGCAGCTCTTGGTGGCAGAGGTGGATCATAGGGAAGGAGGGTACATCTGGTGTGTATGCCATCTATGTGTATATGGCAATGTGGGGCCATTGCCCCTTTGCTTCTTGCTGAGGTGAGAAATCAGCACTGTGATCATGGCTCACTTCACAATGAGGCAATATCTTCCTTCCAAACTGGGTGGAAAGAAGTCATTCTGTATCCAGACAGATGTGCACCGACACCTTTGGGCTCTCCCTGCTTTGAGTGCTCCGAGGGCTCACATTCCCTTTGGTGTCAAATCAGGACCAGGCCACTTTGCAGAGAAATCATGAAAAAGGATTGAACAGACCAAAGTGGGAGCTCGAGCTGACTCTGAACTGAGCAGCTGACCAGGACCCTTCTAGTGGAATCGAGAAACAGAACAACGATGTGAGAGAAGCAAGAACTACCTCCTTCCTCCAGTTTAAAAAAAAAAAAACAAAACAGCAGCACCAGCTTGTTCATGGGGAGAGGAGCCGCCGTGCAAATTAGGCAGGTGTATCATGTGTGCCATCCACTCTTGAACACCAGAGAAGGGCATTTCTGGATAGCACAGAGCAGGTTTTCCAAAAGCCCTGTACTGGTCCACACAGCTGTGGGCTGTCTCTGCAAACTGGAAAGGGATTTTTTTGTTTGCTTTTTTGAAACAATCTGTTCATGTTCTCTCATGTGTGAGGCCGGTTGCACCAATTTTTCAGCATGACTTATTCTGCTTCCACTGTCTTGGTGCTACACTGGCTGAACAGATGAATCAGACCACATTGTTAAACCAGTCGAGAGCCTACGCTGTTCTAAGGTATTATCCTATAGCATGGTTTTGAGCTAATTCCCTGTCCTCCTGGCCTATCACCTTCCCCAGCGCTGCAGTAAGATACGGGGCAATATCTCTCAGATCAAGGGGAATCAGTCTGTAATTGACTTGTTTTGTAGCTGTCTGCTGCCCAGCTTAGATTAGGAGGGCTGTGATTGTGTTCATCTCTCAAGTGAGCTGCTTTCTAAGATGGCTTTATAAAGCCCCATCATCCTAGGGGTTTCCTTGCGCTGCTGGGGTTGGGTTCCTGCCCTGCACAGCTGGACCCAGCGAGACTCGTGCAACAACAAGCTCCCTTTATGACTTCAGTTTAATTGCGGGAGGCAGCAGAAATTTCTAAAAACCCCTGAAGGCTCCGTTGGGTGTATAGGAGTTCTGAAATAGCATAAATAGAGCAGCTTTTCTGTCCCCAGGATTTCCTGTCCCAGCTTTAGTCAGAACCTTTGTATCTTCCCAGGACCCAGAAAGGTCATTTGTGGAATTCCTCTGCCAGACTCCTTGGGCTCTCCCTCTGGCTAGCGAGGCTACTTCAGCAGCAGCAGCAATGGCCCAGACCCCCACTGCTGCCAGCAGTTCAGCCTCGGCTCGACTCCCACAGTGGGTGCTCTGGCTGCTGACATCTCTGGGTGAAGATGCTGCAGACTGTGATAGGATCCTGTGTTGTTTGGAGCCAGTTTTTGCCAGTGTTGCAGTGTATATTTGAGCTGGCAACTCTGGTCTTTGTTCTCAGGGTCATTTTTTCAGTGGAATAGTCACACAGGTAGAGCTGGTACCCCTTACACACACAGGAGGGTGGCCCTGGCCACAGTCCTGCTCTCCTCACAGCCCAACAGCTGTTCTGTGTGTATCAGTGGCGTCCAAATTCTAAATGTACTAGTTGTGTGGTAGCATTCCTTGGGGCAACTTCATTTTAGTATCAATAATAATTCAGCACAGCAGATGACATCTTGTTTTGCAAAATGAGCAGCTTTTTCTCTTGAGAATATCTCTTGATTTGTCCCTAGGCCCCGCAGCAGCTAGTGTTATCAGCATCTGCTGGCTCCCCAAACAGAGGTGTGTAACACCCTCCCACAGGTCATCACTTCAGGTTAGCAGCACATGGTGGGCAAGTGTCCATTTGCCCTCCAAACCCACACCAGCACAAGTCCAATGGAGTCTACAGCCAGGTCTGAGCTGCCACAGGTACCTTCTGCGGCTGGAACTGCTGGATTTTGGAGTCACATCCATGCAGACCTGACCTCCCTATGGTCCTTGGGTGAAGCACATGCCAGATAGTTTTATTTCAGTGCCAGTCCTTCACTGACAAAGGACACAGTGTTAGGATCCTGCAGCAATTTCCCAGGTATTGATTTCCTCTTAGCTTTGCCTCCTCCAGTCTCCATGCCATGCTTTAAAAAATTGCCCCTGTCTATTCTGGGTGTGCGACGTATGGCTTCAGCTAAGCCCAGCAGCATGTGAAATGGTCCTGCTCACCTTGTGAGGCTGCAGCTAATGACACTGAGAAGTAACTCATCAAATGGCAAAAAAAATCCCAACCATCCCGTATTCTCAGCTATCAAAAGCTTTTCTGTACTTCTCCAAAACGGCACAGATGGTGGTTGTCGGTCCCCAGCTTCTCCAGTCCCCACCACTCCTGAGAGAGCCCCACACAGCTGTTGTCTCAGGTTTTCTTTTACTTGCAAGCTGTGGTGGTGACTAACTTATCACAAATACCCTAATTGTAAACTAAACAGAGCTGTCTAAGATCAAAAGTTGTATTTTTTGCCTGTTTGCCATCTTAGAGGGAGAATGGAAGACATTTTTGGTTCAACTGTCTTATTGCAAGTGGCAGAACTAAGGCACGTTATAAATTAATTGTTCATCAATCATTTAATTATATTGTCCGTTACTGGTGTGTACACAGTAACTTTCATTCCTGAGTTCTTTGAAAAAAGCAGTCATTTCTGTGGAAGGCAAGCAAACAAAAATGAGATGAAAAAGACAAGATTTGGCTCAGTTTTTTCTAAGGAAGAAGCAGAGGAGCCAAAACTTAAACCCAGCAGGTGTGGTGAGACTTGCCATTAGAAAATTATATGAGACTTGGTTTTTCCACCTTGGACGGATAAAGTGCTGGCATTTGGATCTTCAGATCCTACGGACTCAATCCTCTGAACATCAATAGATTTCCCGGGGAGAATTTTCCCTTGAGGAATTCAGAGTGGTAGGAAGCTGAATACGAACGTTTATCAAAATAATCTCAAGGAAGGAGTCCCTCTGGATGAGAGGGCGGTTTGCACTGCGAGAATGAGTCTGAAACAAGGGATCAGATTAAAAATAGACAAAATAAATCAGTAATTCAACATGTGCAAGAAGCGCGATCAGAAAGGACTGTCTCACAGTGTTAAAAGCCTGCTTGAAAAGCCTACTTAATCTTCAAACGTTAACCTATCACTGAGACTACAATGGAACAAATGGCACCAGCCTGGGAGATGTGTATCTGTCAGGAGGCCTGATGAGCTCTGCGGGTGAGATCCACTTATGGAGCCTGTACCTGTCTGGCTGTTTATTTCCTGGCAGAGCTTCAGCGTCGCCCAAGTGAACTGCCAAGAGTTTCAGCCAGGTGTCAGCATGTTACACTCAGCTGCAGGCTTGAGAGTTACTGGTTCCTGAATTTCTGGCTCTCTACATACCATCTCCTTTCTCTTCCAACCCTGGCAGACAGAGCTCGGACTCCAGGGGTGAATCTCAATAATCAAGGGGTTTGTCTTTGGTCTTACCGCTCTTATTTAAGTTTGGAAAGGAGCCTGGGCTGGAAGGTTACGCTGCATGTTCCAGCCAAAATCAGTGAACAGGGCTTCAGTCCTAACCCTGCCACCGACTCGTGACGAACAGGCTCACAAAGGTCCTTCAGCTGCCAACTCTTGGGTGCTGGTGCCCCATTTGAGGACCCTACTCCTGATTTTTGGAAGCACTGAGACATCCGTGCTCTGGGATGGAGAGGGAGTGTAGGAAGGGGTCTGCGGATGCCCACCTTCTGCAGAGAACTCTAGTGACTACCTCAACGTCCCCCCTCCCCATCAGGGAGGGTGTTGGGCTGCGTGTTTTCTGTGACTTGGTTTCCCAGCAGAATCCAAACGCTGCTATTACTGCTCACCTGGGAAAGTGCTTTGAAAGCTTCTCATGAAAAAAAACAGAATTTGAGTGAAATGCGTTACTGGTATTGAAAAAGTAAAATGTAGTTTATGGAGAGGGAGTGAGGAAGGCCAGGTTTCCAGTAAGGGCTGAAAAATGAAAGCAGTTGTTGCTAAT